TTGGCTCGGTCTGTCTCTCAATCCTTTGAAAATACCTAAATATAATTCTTTTGAATTCCTTATCAGAGAGTTCCAGTGCTGCTTCTTCCTCAGGGATGTGTTCTGAGTGTGTATCCTGCTCCCTTGTTTCTACCACTTTATCTTGCTTCTTTGTGTGGACTGTGATGGTCTGTTGTCTTGGAGACATCGTGGTGTTATATTTAGATCTCTGTTAACTGTTTGTGAAGAGTAGCCAACGGTGATTCAGGCTCTTGGTGGTTTTTTATCGTTGGCCTTTCCAGTTCTTTGGGTCCAGAATGTCCTTGGGGTTACTGGCAAGTGGAGCCTGTTCTTAAGCCCCTGGAATCTGGGAGAACGCTGTTGCTTTAAATATCCAAAATGGTCAAGCCGCTTGTAAACATTCAAAATGGCTGTGCCCTCCGGACAGACAGAAGTCCACAGCTCAGCCCGCCTCCTCTTTGCTGCCTCCCCTTTTATTCCCCAGCCATCAGAGCAGTCCTCCGTGCAGTCCCTGGCTAGCAGACTGATTTTTAGGTTAATTCTTAGGTCCTACCACCACTCGGCAATATCCAAGCAGAGCTGAGGATTCTGAGAACTGTCAAAGCGTCTTCCTACCAGGAACTGGGGTAGTGTCACCTCATGACGGAAACACAGGCTTCAGTTAAGTCAACCACCCGAGAAGTTCACTAAGTGAGATCGTTGGTCTTTGATTTTGTTTAGCTAAAAACACGGTGTAGCTTTATTACAAAATAAAAATAGTAACATAATGAAACCCAGCCTTCCAGGTGTTTGATGGTTTGCTGTCCCTGAGGGCTGCTCTCCTGGGAACAAACCCAGGTTCTGTGTGTATCCACCACTCCCCTCAACAGTGCCGCTTCAGAGGGTCTCAGGAGAAGTGCATGAGAGGCCAGTTCTGGGGCAGATGAGGCTGACAAGTTGGCTTGGGCTCAGGTTGCCTGTCATGTGGCCTTTGGCCTTGCCTCTCGCTCTGCAGAGTTGCAGTGCCCTGCACTGGTTACACACCTCCGTTATTCATCCAGACGGCCTGGCACAGAGGACTTCAGGGCTCCAGTGACTTCACGTGTGCCCGCCCTAACATGGGGTGGATTGCTGTTCTCAGTAATCTACACTGTAGAATATGAAAACCGGTGAAAGTTTAACCCAAGTACTACTTACGTGGTCCGTGTTATTGTTGTAATTCTTCTTTAACTGTCTGTCTGTTCAGGTAGACTAACCCAATACAGACATAATGTCTGTGTAGGACATGGGATGCTTGTTGCTGGGGCTTGTTTCTGAATGAGCACTACCAGCTCAAAGTACCAAGCCATGTTCTTTAGTATTTCCGATCATGCTGGGACACTGCCGTGGAATCCAGGTTCTTTCACATGTTGAACCGCTAAAGTTGTATATCAAGTGTCGAAAGCTAACATTTAAAAAGCCTTTTTATACCAAAGAAGTTTTATTTATGTGGAGTGTCTTACAATCAAAATCCCATTTATTCAGTATGTCTAATAAATAACCACGATTGCCATCAGCACGTTACTCTCAGAAGTCTTTAAAGTGTAAAGTAGTTTTTCCCTTGGCATGTTTTGTGTTTTCATTGGTACTTGTACATCCTCCAAGCTTCTCAGCCTTCGTGGGATGAACTGTGTTACGTCCTCATGCAGTTTACTTCCTAAAATTAAAAGTTTATTTTAATGGTTTAGAGGGAGCTCTGGTAGCATAGTGCCTAAGGCACTTGACTACTAACCAGAAGGCTGGCAGTTCAAACCCACCAGCCACTCCTCAGAAGGAAGGTTGGACAGTCTACTTCCTTAGTGATACTGCCTCGGCAACCCAAGGAGGGGTTGCTGTGAGTCCGGTTGACTGGATGGCACATAACAACAATGGTTTAGATACTTTTTAGCCAAACTTTTTCAGACTAAAGGTTGAAGCTGAGTCTTTGTTTAAAACTTGTGGAGTCACCTTTGGTGTGACTCTGTCCCCCAGTCCGTGTGTCACTAGTAACTTGTGGAGGCAGCTTTGGTGTGGGTCTGTCCCGCAGTCCGTGTGCACGGGTAACTCGTGAGCCGGCTCTGGTGTGGGTCTGTCCCGCAGTCCGTGTGCATGGGTAACTCATGAGCCGGCTCTGGTGTGGGTCTGTCCCCCGGTCCGTGTGTCACGGTTAACTCGTGAGCCGGCTCTGGTGTGGGTCTGTCCCGCGGTCCGTGTGCACGGGTAACTCGTGAGCCGGCTCTGGTGTGGGTCTGTCCCCCGGTCCGTGTGTCACAGGTAACTCGTGAGCCGGCTCTGGTGTGGGTCTGTCCCCCGGTCCGTGTGTCACGGGTAACTCGTGAGCCGGCTCTGGTGTGGGTCTGTCCCCCAGTCCATGTGCACGGGTGTCTGCATCTCTGTAGAGCTACGCCAGCTTTTGGGGTCCTGTGTAGCCTCCTGAATCCCAGTGTTTCAGGATGTCTTAGATGGAGAGCAACACTGCCTTGTAGACATTCACTCCCTGAGTGATCAAGAGGCTGGGAGCTGGGGTTACCTCAGAAAGAACCCGATCAGGCAGAGTTGGGGTCATAGGTCACTGTGAAATAGGGATTCTGACCGCCCTACCCCCACTGATAACAGCACGGCCAACAGTAAAGTAGTTAACGGCAGCTGAGGTGAGTCTCTCACTTGGTGGCTGTCAGAGTGCAGCCAGTGGCTCTGTGGTGGTGAAGGGACATAACCCCCAGTGAGACAGCTGAGTGGCCTGTAGTCCACGGTGGAAAGGGGCGAGGGCCGGGGCACCCAGCCTGCAGAAAGCTGTTACACAGCAGTCAGTGGGTGAAATCCAGCCCTTTGTTTAAACTTGAGAGAAGCACAGAGCTGGCCTCCCACTCAGTGTTCAGCCCAGTTACGGTCCAGACCTTGCTGCTGCCTCCGCTCTCCAGCGGGCCGCTCCTGAGGCCTGGGAGTGCACAGGCCACGTGAGAGGAGGGAGTCGGCGAGGAAGGGGTTGAACGCTGGTGACAAGAAGCTTATAAGCACAGTCACTACCATTAGATAAAATTTCTGGAATGTTACCATTGAAAAATAGCTCCTTATGCCTTTACTTAAAAAGCAACCCATTAAGATGATTCAGGATGAAAGGCTGAGCTCACAGTGGTCGAGAAGTGTTCAGATGACCTCTGGCCTCGGTGACCAAAAACCAGCTCCCATTTCTACACCGTGTTGAGGCAGCGATGTCACAGGCAGGATGAGACAATAAGAAGCTTGGAGCTTCTTTTGTTCAAGTGCATCTCAGGATTTTCTGATGTTGTTCGCTGGCCCCAGTTCCAGGTGGGGCTTTGTCCCCAGGTAACTCAGAATCCAGCATTGGCAGCCACTTTACAAAGAAACCTGATACTGATGATGAGCGTGTTAGGTGCCATCGGGTCAGCTCCAACTCACAGTGGCCCTGTGGACAATGGAATGAAACCCTAGTACTGACAGCCCCAGCCCTGGTACTGACAGCCCCAGTCCCCTGGTACTGACAGCCACTGCAAAACGGTAGTGTATTTGAAAGTTCTGACTCGGCAGGCCTTAGACTCTGACTGATTTCTCCTGAGTCCTGGGTTTTTATAGAATGCCACCTGTAAGCTTCCTGTGAGGTGCTGTAGCTTTGACCAAGGTGCAGCGGTTTTTCAGGACTCTGGCTTCTGCTGGACCCGCCCAGTTCACTGTCGAGCACCGGTGGTGGCCGAGCAGGAGCGCCCTTGGGGAGCCTCAGCCACAAAAGATTTCGCTCCTGGAGCTCTTTAGAGGATGGCTGGTGAACTGCCAGAGTCTTCTGGCTCACCTGTGTCACCTCTGTGACGCATTCAGGAAAGGCTGGGGGGCAGGCAAAGTGCGGGCGGAGTTACAAGCAGTCAATGTTGCCAGCAAGCACTGTTACCCAGGCCACCCAGTTTGGGGCTGTCACATTGCTTCATGGATGACCCAGGGGGTGGAGTGTGATGATGAGGTCATCTTGGGAACAGCCCCACATAGTAGTTTTGGGTTTTATCTCAATTAAAATGCTTCAGTGTCAAATTTTTTAAAAGGCGAAATCAAACTGCTCTTCTTTATATTATTTTCAAGTGGGTTGTCATGGAAACAGGAGAGGTGTTTGGGGGAGTTTTTTCCTGCTTATTGCAGGTCTTCTCAAAGCAGTGATTTTACTGAGGGAAAGCAGAATGAAGACAAAAGCGCTAAGCCCCCCAGCAGGGGCCCTGCATTTCAGACCTGGCCGCTGCGGGTGAAGGTCCCCGCGGGCTCCCACACTGACATGAGGGTCCTTCGTGCCTGTGCTGTGCTCGGGCAGACACGGTCTCTTCAGGCACACCAAGTGCAGGAGCAACATACTAACGGATGGTTTTGCGTCCACGAAATCTGCTCAGCTCAAGTTGTTAAAATTATCGTGAGAATGGCATGTTCAGGATTGGAGGTTGCAGGCTTAGTGTCCGTGCCCCCATAGCCAGTTCTTGATTATTTGTGCTTATAGACTCCCAAGAGGAGTGGGAGCAAAAGACATTTCCAGGTGGCCTGTCTAGTTTTTGCCTGCACTTATTGCCAGTTTTTAGAACAAGAGAAATGAATGTCCCCCTTGCAGTTCACTGCTTTTGATAGAAATATTGGTAAGGTGACGATTCTAGGTCAATAAATGGACGAGGGCGGGAGGAAGGAGGAGAGACCGCAGCTCTGAGTTGGCCGTGGGCTGTGTGGTCAGGCTGTTCATGTTGAGAACCGGTGGCTGTCGGCCATTTGAACTGGCCACTCTCAGCCTCCAGCATGAGGCCGATGCACGCTCTGGTTGGGAGCTCAGTGCTGCTGTGGTCAGGAGAGGTGTCTGTGCAGGTGAGCAGGCCCGCCAAGGGGAGCCTGAGCCCCAGCACCTGCAGAGGCTGTGCCTTCAGGCCTGCATACTCCAGTCTGGTCTCTGCTTGGCCGTAGCAGGTGGTATTGGGCCAGCCATACCCAAGAGCTGAAAGAAAGCCTCTGCCTCTTGTGTTCAGGTCCCGGTCCCGGTCTCCTCGGAGAAGGGTGCACTCTCCAGAGCGGCGCAGGGAAGAGCGGAGCGTCCCCACTGCCTACCGTGTGAGCAACAGCCCCGGGATCAGCCGGAAGCGGACGCGCTCCAGGTAGGCGCGGGTGGTGCCGGGAAGGGAAGTGGAGGACGTAGGCTGGGAAGGATGTGCAGACCCCGTTGTGGTGCGCTCCTCTTTGTAGTGCTTCGCACGGTGAAGGTTTGTGACCACCCTGCAGGCAGCAGGTCTGTCGGTGCCCTCTTTCCAGTACCATGTGCTCACTTCATGTCCCTGGGTCACGTGTTAAATCTTCCTCACGCTATTTCAGACTGTCATCATGCTGTTGCACGCTTCATAGATGACAGTTCTGTGTCGACATAATTTTATATGCACGGGGAAACCAGAAATGTGGTGCAGCCTTTTTTAATGTGGAGGTCTGGAGCCAAGCCCGCAGCATCTCCAAGGTGTGACTCGCAGGACTCGTGCAGGCCTGAACAGGCACAAACCGCAAACACCAGCATCCAGCGACTGGGGCCTCAGCAACAGGAGTGGCCCGTGAGCCTTCTGTAGCCTCGCATTTCACAGTGCCGTGCCAGCGCCCCGACGCGAGGCTCAGAGAGGCAGGGTCCAGAGCTTGTGCGTCACAGTGTAGGACAGCGTGGGGTGCCCCTCTCCCTGCGGAGACACTCACCTGTCTCCCAGCACTTTTCATCTGCTAGAGACCCTGGCCAGCCAGCAGTTCACATCGCCCCTTGCTCAGAGGCGGCTCTGGAGAGGCTCTGAGGGGACGTTCTGCTATCATTGGCCTGGTACACCGTGGTTTCTGTGAACCAGTCACAGGTGAGCTCTTCTTGCTAGAACAGAACTCTCCGGCCCTGTGGCACCACCTGGTTCGGCTAAGCTCACACGCCAGCTCACTCCGTGTCAGTTGGTCCTGCCCAGGCACACGTGGCTGTCCCATGAAACCCACGTGAGGTTTTCCCCCCACGCACCGTTGTCTCGCAGTTGAAGTTCATCCCCCTTGGTTTACGGAGAGTCTGTTCTGAAGGGGACGCTGGGCCGACGATCTCTCCTCACTTCTTGCTGGGCCCTCCCTTGGCCGTTGCTTGATGAGAGACACACAGAGATGGCAATGACTCTGGGACCGTGAGCGCCCTCAGACCCCGCCCAGACCCAGGCGGTCTTTCCAACATTGTCATTGGGGCATCAGTAAGACGTGTGTCCCAGTGAATGGCATTAAGCCCTGTGGACCTAGCTCAGCAGGGGTGAACAGACTCAGTGTTATCTCCCGATGGGCTCTGCCAGTCAGGGCAGAGCCAGCTGTATCAGCAATTGAATTTTATTAACCCTGTGGTCAGAGTGTACCCTTCCACCTTCTGTCCCAGAGTCTCTGCTCTAGTTCAGTGGCAGGTGAGTAATCAGTACCATGGACCGTCACCCAGCCTAACAAGATCACCCTGACAGTGGAAGTCATTGCCGACACAGGTGACAGTGGTTTCTGACAACTGGCCAACAAAGGCTTCTGTCACGACTTTCAGAAGAAATGTAAACTTCCAGAACAGTTAAAGAGGAACAGTGCAGGGACCCCGTCGGTGCACATTGCCTTCACGTTGCTGCAGTGAGTAGCTCATGTCTGCGTTCTCTCTGCAGGTAGAGCTGCTTTGACCTGGTAGGCGTGGGCGTGCTTTCTCCTCCTTGCCACGGTAAACTAAGCTGCAGGCTGCATGACACTTCCCCTGAACACACTCCTGTGGCTCACGTACAAGGACATGCTGTTCTCTGGCCAGTGTTGTCACTGTACCCCAGAATCACCTAACTCAGCCTGTGACAGCATTCATAGCCACGGTGTGAGGCACATGGAACAGATGAAAGTGCAGAGGTTGCAAAGGAAGACTAGCCTTTTACTTAATTACATCAGGTCCTGCAGCATCTATGGGGCACCTGCCAGAACTGAAAAATGAACTTAGCAAAGAGGTAGGAGGCTCTTTCTACATACCACCCACTGCCATGGAGTCCATTGCAACTCATCAAGACCCTGTAGGACAGAGTAGAACTACCCCATAGGGTTCCAAGGCTGTCAGTCTTTACGGAAGCAGACTGCCACATCTTTCTCTCGTGGAGCAGGGGTGGGTTCAAATTGCCAACCTTTCAGTTCACTGCTGAGCACTTGACCACTGTGCCAGTCTATATACAGACCTAGAATGTTTAATATGTGAAATTGAAAACAATACCAATATCATAGTATCAAAAGTACGCACACTGCTTAGGGGTAAGTTTAACAAAATATGTGCAGAACCTTTCTGTACAGAAAACCTTAACATCTCAAAGAGAAATTTCAAAAGACATAAATGGAGAAAGAGCCACATTTATGGATTGGAAGACTGGTGTTGGTCAGATGTCTCCTCTTCCTACGTTGATCTGTGCAGCCACCCCTCCCCAATCAGAACTCTCGTGGGCTTTGTGGAAGCTGGCACACTGATCCTAAAACGTGTGGGAGAGCCCTTGCAGTCTTGCTGAGAGCAGAGGGCACTCATCCTGCCTGGTGTTGAGACCAGAGTTGGCCACGGCTGTACATACAGAACAGCAGAGAGGACGGCCCTGACGGAGACCCCAGGTGGTCACAGCCTGTCCCAGCGAGGCCGGAGCAGGCCAGCGCGGAGAGGAGAGGCATCTGTCAAAGGTAGCTGGAACCACCGAGTGTCAGGCTGGGCCAGAAGCAAACTGTGCACCATACACACACATTCATTCCAGGTGGGTGACGGACCTGGACTGAAAACGAAAATGTGGAGCTTTCTGAAAAGAATTCAGGAGAATATTCCTGCCTTGACCGTCCTGAGAGTCTGAGGACTTTGAAAACCTCCTGTAAAAGAGAAAGCAGACTTCACTCAGATGAAGAGCGTTCCCTCCCTCAGAAGACACAGGTCAGGAACTGCACAGGCCAGCGCCAGACTGGAGAAGAGGCCGACAGCCCTCTCCAGCAAAGGCCCTGGGACATCGTGTGCACGCGGCCCAAGCACACAGGTCGGGGCCACCACGCTTAGGAGCGGGCGCGCCCCATCGTCAGGGCCGGGAGGGTCAAGTCCGGCGCCCCTCACTGTTGGCGAGGACGTGGAGTGGCTGAAGTTGCCCTGTTGGTGGGATGTGGGCACTGGACCCAGCACTTCCAGCCCGAGGCGCCTGCTCACGGTGATGAGGTCAGCAGCTGACCGCAGAAACATCGCGATTGCCCTGAATGTTTATTAACAGGCAAATTGATCAAGACGCTGAAGTGTGTTCATCCTTGTGACAGCCGTCTGCCTCGTGAGAAGAGACCAGCCACATTGGGAGAAGAGGCTCCCACATCGGGGCCACTTGGCTGAGCGCGGGAAGCCAAAACCACAAGGGGGCGGGTTCACTTCAGGACGTAGAGACGGCCACCTGTGTGCGGGGAAGGGGACGGAGGGCCGTGGAGACGGTCACCTAGTGCGGGGGAAGGGGATGGAGGGCCATAGAGACGGTCACCTGTGTGCAGGGGAGGGGGACGGA